CCCCCCCCCCCCCCCCCGCCCCCCCCCCCTCGAGCCAGCGCGTGGTCTGCTAAGTCATAATATATGTACCTATTTATTTTGGTTTCTTTGGAATTGCTTCATTATTTCTTCGGTTTCTAGGCTACGTGTTGGGGAGAGAGACGCACGAAACGCCCATCGTCTCTCCGGCCGCGTTAGCTGCGAAGGCCGGCGTCAACTGTTACAATTCCATCTCTCTCCCCATAAATACTAGCCGGGGGACTACGACTGCAACGGCAGGAGTCCCAAAACTGACCAAGTCCTCAAATGGTACACACCATTCTACAACACCCGACTAGATACCGAATACTCCCGAACTTATGCCCCCACCTTCGAAAGAAAAGGGATGGGAGGGCGGGATTTTCTAAACTGCCGCCGCTACTGCGTTAGGCGGCTGCTGTTGTACTTCCGTTGCTTCACGCGCTCTGTAGCTCTCACACGTTACCCGACTTTGCTACAGCCCCCGCGTGGACTCGATCACGGAATGACATGCCCAGATATAGACTACAATGATAAATCCAAACACCGTGACCCTGGGTTTCCGATAGAAATGAAGCAAATTCTAACTCGACTGTTACAAAATAAACACCAGTTTGTTCTATCTGCTCTTCGAACAAACCTCCCTTTTATTTTGTTTTCTTTCGAATTGCTTCATTATTTCTTCGGTTTCTAGGCTACGTGTTGGGGAGAGAGACGCACGAAACGCCCATCTTCTCTCCGGCCGCGTTAGCTGCGAAGGCCGGCGTCAACTCTTACAAATCCATCTCTCTCCCCATAAATACTAGCCGGGGGACAACGACTGCAACCGCAGGAGTCCCAAAACTGACCAAGTCCTCAAAAGGTACACACCATTCTACAACAACCACATCGAGGTCAGTTTCTGGACGACTACCGAATAACTCAACTATGCGTTCCCCATACTGTCCCCTCCCCCGGCTGTCTCGATACTATCCTGCTGCCGTCTGTAAGTTCCGTGACACTCGCCGCGAATCCTCTACATTGTTTCGCGCATACAGCTTGTAGGCATTCGACCTCCACTTCCCTTCTCTCTGAATCACTCGTTCTGCGATGTCTCCGCCCGATGCAAGAGCCGTCGCGTCTCCAATTCGCAACGAGTGCAACGCGTACTCGTGGGGGTTGCGTCTCGACTTCGCTACCACTTCTCGTACTGCACGGAGGGCAGCACTATACTTCACTACTCTCACTGCTCTTCCACTGCGGTACGGAGCCAACGGAGCGGAGTCAGGCAACGTCGCATGACACGACAATAGCTCCACCACAAGAGCCACCGCGCCGCCGCGTGCTCTCACACCTGACTGCGGTCCGGTGATTTCGTCTCGCGTACGAACCCGTATGTTGCCTTTCTGCTCTTGATCGGCCTTGTGCCCTCTAAACCTCATTTCGACACGGTCTGCTCTACGACAGTGACTAAAGTCTAGTTGCGTCCCGTCGGCAAACAAATATTTGTCCGCCCTCGTAAGACGGTGTGCCTCATGCACCCTGCCCGCGTCTTAGGGTTAGGGTTAGGGTTAGGGTTAGGACAGGTCTAGCTCGACCGAAGCTTCCAGCCTACAAGTATGAAAATGTTGCACAGCCGTGAGTTTTCCGGATATTGTATTCGCTAGGTTACCCTCAGACTCGAAACACCAGGCTACGAAGTCTACCAACTCCCACACATGAAGGTCCCTGGCACGTTGCCCTAAAAACTTGGGCTTCTCCGTCAGCCTCCGAAACGTGCACCAAGATTTGAAGCCTGACGTGCACGTCCTTCTAGACAGCTGAGTGCTCGACGAGCTGGATGCCAAGACGTCGGTAACGAGTCCTGTCCTGCCTATCCCAGGTCCTGAACCTGCTGATTGCCCTGGGCCAACCTCGTGTAGACCGGCGTGCTGCCGTTCGATTTGGCCGCATGTGCGCTGCCAACTGAGGTAGCCCCCCCCCGCCACGCGGGAGAGCTCGCACTTCTATTTGTCTTTCCCGTGGGTGAAGAAATCAGCGGCTTTGGGCCTCGCGCCGCCCTCGCCAGCGGCGCGCGCCTCTCCTCCGCACCCTCCCCCGTTGCCGTGGCCAACGTTGCGACCACGGTCTTCGACCCGGAAGTTTGAGAGCGTGTCGAGCGATGCCGCCACTTTCTCTGTCACCAGAACGCCTTTTGCCAGCCAAGGATTGCCACTTCGGCTCCGACAGTTTTGCAACTGCCGGAGGCCGTCCGAGGATGAGCCACGCTTTTACCCGGCGGAGGCCCCCCTGCATCCGCGCCCTATCCTTTGCCGCAGCCTTAGCAGCCTCGGCGCTGGGTACAGCGGGGGGCCGAGATGCCGGTGGTGGGGCGGTTGTGCCCACCAGTTGCACCTCCCCCTAAAGGCCAGGTCCTGCTGCTTGGGTGGCGATCAGGTCGTCGATCGATGCTTGAAGCTACTGGCGATCGCCGCCAGCCTCGTCGCGCTCCCGCTGCAGCTCCTCCCTCAGGCCGTCCACCAGCCCACGGAGAGGAGCGAGCTCAGTCTCGTCAGCGGGGGGGGTCCCCGTGGGTGCCTGTCCCTGTCCCTCGCGACGAGAATACCGCTCGACGCCTCGCGGGAGTACGTGATCCGCTCCGCGTCGAGGGGCGAGCCGTCGAGCTCGCCACCGATCGCGCCGTAGACCTCGTGCGTGGTGTCGAGGGTGTCGCCGCCCGACCTCGCCCTGCTTGCCCGGCCGCAGCCCTGCCGCTCCGCGTGGAGGCCCGTGTCGGCATCTGGTCGCGGTTGGAGTCGTAGAAGCAGCGAACCGGCGGCAGGCGGCGGGCGAACGTCAGGGCGGCGTTGCGGGAACACTTGTTTTCCTCTTCATGGTGAGCGTGGTCGATCGCGCGCCTGGATCTGCAGTTAGAATGCTCTACAAGTTCCAATCTTCGGCGGAAATATCTGACGAGGCTCTGCGTCGGGCCCAGAACGACGCGTTGTTATATCGCGAGCTCGCGTTGGTTCGTTCTCGACGCCTGTAGATTGAGTGGAGTGATTGTTGCTGCTTACGCTACGGTCAATGGGGGTCCCGTATCTCGACAATCCCGAATATTCCTCCGCACGTGTTTTTGGAGGTGTTGAGTAGAGGGGGTATTAAAGGCCACCCGAGTGTTAACGACCACCTGGCTTAAAAATTCATATCTTGCCAACAATATCGGGGAATGCCTTTTTTTCTTGTTGTCATGGACCATGCCGATCGTTTAAGCGCAAGTTTGCTCCAGCTGGATATAAACTGAGCCCTCTACAGCGTTCGGCGCCAAGGTGGCGTACGATATCCCAGCCTTTCTCGATTTATTTTTTTTCCAGCCGCTAAGGGCGTATGTATGTTAACGAAGGGCCGAAATCAAAATCGGAAAAAAAATCGAATCAAAATCGAGATCTGATTGGTCGAATATCTGCGACCTCCTGACGACGCCCTTTGATTTTTAGAAGTTCCTCTGTCTGGGAAGAAGTCCCAGGGGACTTTTTCTATCAAAATCAAAATCAAAGAGGCAAGGAGTTCAAGGAGTTTGCCGCGAGGCCGCTGCAAAGCAAGTGCATGACACGACCTGCTGCACACTGCTCATACAGGGGCTATCGGCACCCTACCACCGAGACCATGGCCATTATTTGAATCCAGAAGGATATACTCGCCGGCAAGCTATAAACAGGCCGGCTCGTTGGGTACTCGAGGAGAAATGCCGATCGTGACAAGCGGTGAACGGACTGACGATCAGAACAGGGCTGCGCGGCTTTTCCGGGCTGTTCCGTGCGGGAGAGGGCAGTTGCAACCTTTTTTCTCCACACTCACGATACCCCATGGCATCTAACCTTGTACGAGACAGATGGTGGGTAAAGCTACCTCCTTTTTTTTTCTATAAACAGCCAAACGAAAACCAGGGGATTCTTCGTTTTTGTCCCCGGGTAAGCATGTTTATTTATTTTTTTATTCTTTATTGTTTGTGCCAAAGGAGAAGTTCTGGGAAGCAGTAGAACGAGCGCAATCACTAGTATTCAAGGTAGCCGTTAATACCCTCCGGGCCGTGTTTTCCCTCAATATTACATCTTCAACTTGGGCAAACGGCTACCGCTGTACCTTGTCACTTATAACGATTTTCCTTCTTTTTATTTTTAGTTACGGGATAGATGGTAATGTTAGCTATTGTTCGATATTTAAATATCATCGTAACTCGTTATATTGCCACAGAACGAGCTCTTGGCACCAGGGGTAGCTTAAGTGGCCTTTAACCTTTACGTGAGTACAGGCCGATTCAGCTCCGTCCTCAGCGCCGATAACTTTGCGTGCCGAAAGATCGCCGTTGTGCCTCGGCTAAGAGCAAACAACTACGTAGAGACCAGCAGGGAGACACAGGCAGCCCACCCCAAAAGCGCGCTTATCAGCAATGCGCACAGGACTCACATAGCACAGCACTATTCACCCATGCCTCATCTCTCTGACGTGGGGGCAGATATCCTTGCCAGATCCAATCTACTGCCTACCGATACTGCTGTAGTCTCAAGATTCAAACGCACAATACCATCGGAGGGTACATACAGCCCGGTGCCGCATCCGATGCGAGAGCAGAGAAAGCGCGCACCGGAGCCGATGCTAACGTACTGCCTCGGTGCTTGATGTTGTTGTGGTTGCGGTGCGTGTGGTTCCCAGTATTGGGAGTGAAGGGTGGTCCGTCTGCTGTGTGCAAAATTTCGCTCAAAGACAAAGGTTTTCGGGACTACAGCTCCGATACCAGCTC